CCAAACAACAGCATTTCACAGGCATTCAGTAGTCACGTTGCATACTCATAGGTTATTGTCTATTAGCGCCCTTATTATCAGGGCTATGTCCACTTAATACTACACTATATAATTATATGACACTTATTAATATAAAGCATAGCACTGAGACACTTCAGATAATTTTATCTTAACATTCCCCCTGTTGATCAGCCCCAATGGCAGAATCAGTTTCTTTCTTTTTTTGTAAACAGGGTTGAGTCCATCAGCTCAGCAATAGTACCTCCTACATGTGACCCATCCATGTTTAGTCCCTGTTCCCTTATATCAGTTTGAACCCATCTCAATTACAATTCTTAACGAGATGGTTAGGCAAATTAAACCTTCCGTTTCTCCTGTGGATGTGATCCCTCCATGGCTCTTTAAAGATGTTTTCCCTTCAATTGGAACCTCAGTCCTTGCAATTATAAATAGCAGTATTACTTCCAGTGTGGTTCCTGATGGTTTTAAACATGCAATTGTAAACCCTTTATTAAAAAAACCTGGCCTCAACCCTTTAGCTTGCTCAAATTTTAGACCCATTTCAAGACTTCCATTCCTCCCAAAGTTATTGGAAAAAATAGTTTTTACCCAGCTGAATACATTTTTAGATACTAATGGTATCATGGAAGTTTTTCAGTCTATTTTAAACATCTACACTCCACTGAAACAGCACTTTTACGTGTTTTTAACGATATCTTTTTAGCTAGCGATTGAGGAAGTCCTGTGATCCTTGTGCTTTCAGATCTTACTGCAGCATTTGATACTGCTGACCACAATATTCTTATCTCTCGTTTGGAACACCTGGTTAGCATCAAAGGTGCAGCACTGGATTGGCTTCGTACATATTTGAGTGGTAGAACGTTTAGTGTTAAAGTTGAACATTTTGAGTCCACCTCAGCCCCCCTTTCTTGTGGGGTGCCCCAGGGCTCAATCCTTGGCCCTCTTCTTTTTTCATTATACCTGCTTCCTTTGGGGTCTGTTTTTTGTACCTCAGCCACACATAAGTCAAATATCTGGTGGTCTGCAAATCTCATTCTGACAAAGTGACAGTAAATTTAAATTAGGTCTCCGATCACAGAAACCTAAATATTAAATTTTTAATCAAATTAAACATGAAATATTTCACAATTTTTTGAAACAGTGGTAGTTTGTGTGTTAAAAAAACTTGTTTTTGTTCAACGCTACATTAATTTAAACAAATTGAGGTCAAATTCAGAGAGGAAGGTATAAAAACTATCCACAGCTTCATCTAAAGAGAGCCTGCGGTGAGTTGTTGTGAACTAGATTCATGTCCTGTTGATGCCCAGATGCATATGCATTCTGAGTAAACAGGCTTGGTGGGTGTGGGAAGCATAGAAGTAGCCAGTCACAGCTTGCATCTTGCAGTCCACTTGTGGCTTTGTTTGTTTTTCACAAGCACTGATTCTGGCACATACCACAATACTTTAAAATGAACTTTTCTCTTTAAAAACACACTTTGATGCTAGAATTCTTTTGCACTTGCATGCCAATAATTGGACACAGGATTACATGCAGGAAAGCTTTTGGCATGTCTTCATCTGTTTGTAGCCCCTAGATGTCCCTTCCTGTCCTATCAACAGTATGTATGTTGCACCAGCTCAGCCCGCAGTGGTCTCAGTTATGTGCATCACGTAATACACAGCTTTAATTCTCCAGAGGGCTGTTAAGAATTTCCTAATCTACAATATTGTTCATGAGTATAATGTACTTTTTTATACACTGTTACTTACCAATATCGATATTGCACTTATGTGTTTCTTAAATATCTATAACACAGTTCACTCCGTGGTTATTATTTGTTCTGTATACAAGGAACACTGATTTATAACTTTATAATACTCTAAGTAAACAAAAATATATCTCTGATCTACATTAAAACCACCTTAATAATATTGTATCGTACCTTCTGTTGCTACCAAAACCATTGTGAACTACTGGGAAATTGACACGGGACCTCTAGAGTTGCCTTGTTGTTTCTGGCACTGAAGTCTTAACAGGAGATACTTTGGGTTCTGTGGGTTTTGTGTGGGCTTGCAGTGCAGGGTTCTTGTGTTTTTGAAGGCCAGACAAACACCTTGGATTCTCTATTGTGTTTCCTAAAGTGTCTTTGTAGCATGGTAGGACCTTTTGCTTTCTTAGGGGAGGTGGCTGAAGTTAGTGAGTGCCTTTTCCATGAGAGGTTTGACTGGGCTTCAACAGTAAAGATCTCTGAAGAACTACAGTTTGGTGTCTAAATGTAAATATTACTGAAGCTGGATGGAAATGCTCTTGAAGGTTATGATATGCACGAGGACATTAGTTTTATGTTTACTTTCTAACAACAGCAACAACAGCAATAATAATAATAATAATAATAATAACAATAATAATTATTATTGTTATTATAAAATCATAAATCTAAAATACATTTAGAAAGAGGACAACACATACTCATATCTATCTTGTATGTTGTATAAAAGAGTCAGCAAGCATAATTTTGTTGGTTATTTTATTTTAATGTATGCAGTCTAGTCACTTGGATGAGTGATGAAACGTTTCTCCCACTGAAAACGCTACGTCCAGATGAATAGAGTCAACTTTTGGAAATTTATTTAACTGGATGATTGAGCATGGATCAAAAGATGCAGTCTAGTCTACTTCCTCACCTGAGGAACCCCTGCACCCGTACCAGCTCCTCGGGTGAGGGAGGCTGGGGCCCAGTTGGTCCTTGCTCTGGTTTCCAGGCCGGCTGAGGCTCTGTCAGTTTCTGCACCCGTACCAGCTCCTCGGGTGAGAACGGCAGTTGCCCAGCCGTTGCCAGTGCCTGTCCCGGTCCCCAGGGTGAGGTCAGCCAGGCTACAGCCCGTCTCCGCACCCATACCTACTCCTCGGGTGGGAGCGGCTAGTGTCCGGCAGGTGCCTGCACCCGTTCTTGTTTCTGCTGAAGGCTCAGGCAAGCCCGCCCAGCAGTCCTCCCTGTGTTCCAGAGGCTCAGGAGACTTAAGTCCACAACCATCATCACCACCATCACTACTGCATGCATTTCAGTCTATAGCTCAGTAATTAGCTCTGTTAGCAGCTCAGTCCATAGTTCAATTTCCTGTGTTACCGTTAGCTCAGCCCTTAGCCCACTGGGCAGCTCAGCCATCTCCCCAGCGTTCAGCTCAGTCATCTGCTCCACCACCTGCTCAGCCTTCTGTTCAGCCAGTGGTCTCTGCACGTACTGGTCCTGCATCTGCTCCAGCTGACGAGGCATGAGACTGGACGGGTTCCTCGGGCCCCCCAGCTGGAGCAGATGCAGGACCAGTACATGCCTCATCAGCTGGAGGGCCCGAGGAGCCAGTCCAGCCTCCTTCTGTTCCACAACCTGCGGCTTCTACGCCGTTGCCTGCAGCGCCACCGCTTGGTCCTGCCTTGCCTGGTCCACGTCCGGCTCAGCCTGCTAAACATCATCCACGCCTGGTTTGGCGTCAGCGGCCACCTTCAAGGCCTCCTGACCTGCTTCGTCGCCACCGCTGGCTCCGCGGTCAGCCCCCTGATCTGTTCAGTCATGGGCTGTTGAGCTGTCGGCCCCCTGGTCGGCCCCCTGAACTGTATAATCTCCTGTGCAGCTGTCCTCCGGGTCGGCCTACTGAGTGGTGCTTTTGAACTTTCTTCGCCGGGAGTCATGGTTGCCACCCTGAAATGTTTATAGACTGTTTTCTCTGCTCTAGTGCCTTTCATGGACTTTTGTTTTGGACTATTTTGTGATTTTCCAGGACATCTTCATTACAATGCTTTCTTGATTGTAAACTTGTTAAACAAGTGTCCTCTGTAGTACAGTCTAGCTTTTATCAACTACAACAAATTTCTAAGGCTAAGTATTACATTACCGCATTACCGCGAATGGATCTTGAAAAACGTATCTATGCCTTTGTTACTTCAAGATTAGACTACTGCAACTCCCTTTACCTGGGCCTCCAATCTAAATTTTAACCTATTGTGTTACTGGGTGTTCCCAGTTAATATTTCTGTGTTGATTTTACGTAACTTTTACACTAGGAGTGCAATATTTCTTTTAACATAGTGCTCCCAGGTTACTTGCATTGTTTTGTCTGGAAATGTATTTGTACTCTACTATCGTAACCATGTACAGTGAATTTTATTTCATATTTTACTATTGAGAAGCACTTTGGTGTACCTCTGGTCTTTAAATGTGCTATATAAACAAAGTTGTGACTGCACACAGCATACACTTCCTGCAGTCAGTTTTTATCAGAACAATCAGCAGCATGTCAGTTGTGGCCTCTTTTCACATGTTCCCTCATTATTTCTCACCTCACAGAGAGTTAGTAAAAAAACTGCATCTTGCTGTTTGTACTTGGCTTCAACGTCATGACATGAAAACAAACAAACAAACATTCATTTTTGGTCACTGATGTTTGAGAGTGAGGGTAAATTTTTCCACTTGGGTCTTTTGGTTTTAAACAAAACTGAATTTGGTTTGAGTCTAGCCGAGTGACTTTGACCAGAAGATGGCCAGTGTAAACAGAAAATATATTTAGCTTTTAGTTCTTTTAGTATCAAAAAAGGGTTTCTATAATGATATGAGTTAATTATTGGTTTACCTTAATGATACAAGATTAATAATATCAACTACAGCTAATGACTATTTGACTTTTTCCTTTTTGAGTTGTGCTAAACATAAAGCATATTAAGCATCATGTGCTTAAAATGACAAATTGGGCATTACGAACAAACAAAATTTGTTTTCAAATGTAAATTTTGTTGTATTCATGTGTAATTGTCTACCTGTATTTCCATGCCGATATTACGTTTTTGTTTCTGCAGAATCATCAATAGAAAATGATGATAAGCAACTAGATTCACTGTAAATGGTTTGGTAAATTTTACAGGAAGTGCATTTTCCTTGCTTCAGCCAATCGCTACAGTGTCGACTTTGTCAACCTCTATCAGCTTGTCACAAAATCTTTTGAGTGGGAAGACATCAGTTGTGCAAGAGAAGGCTGAAGTATCACAATGATCGGAAGATTAATTCCTTTGATTCTTCTAAGTACATTGTGTGAGTTTACTTCTTCTACACTGTCAGATGTATCATTTTAAACAATATAAAACAAAATATTTGAGGCTTTGTAATATTCTACATTACATGATGAATATACCTTTTTAAAAAAGTTTTTCTCTTTTGTTCTAACTGTTACTGTTTGTCTCTTTTCTTTAGCTGTGACTGAAATGAATGAGGTTCCTCAGCAGATCTCTGTAACTGTGGCTAAACTTGGAGATAATGTGACTCTGACATGTAAAATCCCTAGGGATAATGTTGGGTTGTCTTACTGGTATAAGCTGAATTATGGATATATGGTTCAAACAGTTACTACAGGAACTAATGAAAAAATATCACTCAATGGACAATTTAACAACTCAAGATTCAATGCCACAAAAGTGGGTAATGTGCTTTCTCTTACCATAAGAAATGTAAGCAAAGAAGATGAAGCAACGTACTTCTGTCAAACAGGATCATCAGAGAGTATGACATTTAAAAATGGCACAATTGTGGCAGTGAATGGTAAAGCATTTTTTTAAATTTTATCGTTTATGTCATAACTGTGTCTAAACCCAAACAATTACAATTAATACCATTAAATGTCTTTTTGTGAATCACACAGATCCTAAAACCCAGCAGAAATCTATCACCGTGAAACAAACTCCAGATATGGAGTCAGTCAATCTGAGTGAGCCAAAGACTCTACAGTGTTCGCTCCTGTCTAAGGACAAAAATGGAAAACATCATTCCCCAAATGAAGACAAAGTGCACTGGTTTAAAGGTGCATCGGAATCCCATCCAGGCAGCATTTACCACGGCAGTCTCAGAAATAAAGAGGACGGGAGATGTGACTACAGTCTGTCCAAAACGATAACAAATTCACCTGATGCTGGGATGGACTACTGTGCTCTGGTCACATGTGGAGAGATCCTGTTTGGTAAAAGAACTAAAGTGGAGATAGGTATGTTTTAACGTATTATTAACATCTTGATTTATAATTTATAATTCCTGTGAGCTTGTTATGAATAAACAAGATAGATTCTCAGGCCTCTAAAATGAATTTGAGTTAGATCGACTAGAGTATTTGTAGCCGCTAAGACTGGTGGACCTAAATCTTCACCACCACGTCTGGTATACATACAAGCGAAAAAGGGGAGTGGGTGGGTCAGCGCTCGGGGCACAGAAACTTAACTGGCTTCAAACACCATTTATTTCCATAAAAAAACACAGCCAGAGTCACAAATACAAGACAAAATTCCCCGTATACAATAAAAATTGTGTTGCAACCCGCTAAAAACCCTGCCGGCAGAAATAACTATACACTATTAAAACAAGGCTAAA